GCTATTAATAAACACATTGAACTCGACCCCATATACATTCCACTACGGAGGAAACCCGGAAGTGAGGCAATCCATCGCAACGGACCCCAGAGTTTAAAAACCAGGCGGGAAAACACACCAACACTTCATGAGAGGCTGCACTGAGGATGTTACCCAGCACGGTAACGAAATGTCTGCAGAACAACAAACCAGCTCGGTGAGCCAACCAACTTCAACACCCACAACCTGAGCTACAAATCTACTCCAAAACTTTATAAAAGAGAATAATCCTAACTATCAATTTACAATACACATTTAAAGACTTTGAACACACAGTGAAAGTATAATCCCATTAATTCCAAAACACAATGTTTTAAGTTGAGAAGGAACAGCTTTTGTACAGTACCCTGAACATTCTTCTGATGAGGCACACAAAATTCTGCTCGTGTAATACTTATACCAGAATCAAAGCTCCCTCCTCGCTGCACATGTGCAGCTGCTCCAATGTTCCATACGTGACAATCGGTGTGTTCCAGAATTCGTTATCAGTTCACTGCCACACACAGGCCTCGGAGTTCTGCACAGCTGTTTAAAAAATGTTAGAGGGATCATTAACCAGAACCCTTGCATCTAACATCTTGGTAGGTATGAGTCACTTGTGGCTTCAACTTCAAAACTGCGACTGTTCACAAAAGACCAATAATTCAGCATTTAAGAAACACCATGAATGAGTACGTGAATAGGAAAGAAATGGAGGGATATGGATCCTGTAAGTGAAGACAGTTTTAGTGTGGAAGGGCAAACTGTGTTGATGCAGGCTTGGAGGGCCAAGGCATCTGTTCCTGTGTTGTATTGTTCTTTGTTCTTCCTATCATGCACCTGACTTTCGCTGTACTGAGTTTTAAATAACTTGTTTTAGGGTTTTAATCCCAATCCTTCTGGTCTGGGACTGACACAAACTCTTCATTCCAATGTAGTCTAATTCACTATCTCTACCATTCCCTTCCTTCGGAGCTTTATACCACCATCCCATTTCGCAGGACTAACTCACTCAAAGACAAAAGTGAAACTAAAAGTTTCTCTCTCACAGCTAAGGACGTTTCCCTTCAACTGAAGAAAAAATATTCCAGAACATTCTATTTTACCATGCTGGTCACAAACAATCCAAAATAACCAAAAGTCTATTAGAGTACAAAATCTACAGCCAGACTTCAAAAACTCTATTTTTAAAAGAAATTGCCATGGCTACAGAAATATTTAGAATTACCAACTTCAGACACTCAGAAAACCCTGCTGATAACTTACTCAAAACCTGAAATCCAAGCTTGCAGCGACTACTAAAAACACAATTATACATATAAATCCCACATTTTACATCATGTTTGTAACTCACATACAAGCACACCACAAAGAAAAGCGACAAAAAAATTCTCTCTGCAGAGATCCACTCTGGGGGATAATGGTGAGTTCTTGTAAGAAACAAAACAAAAGGATAAGGTACAGAATGTTCTGATGGCAATGTGGCATGCTCAGACATGACCGTTATCTCAGGGGTCTTGATAGACACAGCTTGATCAGGAAGCACAGTACTAAAAATTCTTCCAGCCACACTTTAGGAAGACTGTCAAGTTTCACATTGGATTCACAACAAAGGTGCTTCAGAAATAGGAAAGCTGAGCTGTGCAATCTATTCTTCAGTTGCTTCCCCCAACTGAAATAAAATATACTGTAACTGTCTGCTGCCATTAAACCCAGTCATGCCACCTCTATCAAACAGGCCATTGGCTGAAACCAAGCAGTTTCCACAAAATAAGGGATAACAGGGTGTAGAGCTGGATGAGTACAGCAGGTCAAGCAGCATCAGAGGAGCAGGAAAGCTGAAGAAGGGTCTAGGCCCGAAACGTCAGCTTTCCTGCCCCTTTGATGCTGCTTGGCCTGCTGTGTTCATCCACCTCTACACCTTGTTTTCTCAGATTCTCCAGCATCTGCAGTTCCTACTATCTCTGAAACAGTTTCCACGAAATGCTTTGTTTTTAAAAAAAAGTTCCCAAGACGTTTTCATTTTTCATTTTTTAAAATAAGTCCAAGTTTCTAATGGAGTAAATCATTTGCCATAATCTATCAAAAAAATATTAAATCTGAAGCCTTCATCATAATTGTTGTAAACTTTAGCAGAAGGTATGATATTTGTAGTCAGCAAACATGACAGGAAAGCTGTGGAAACATCATGACAGTTCCTGAGCTCAGCCCAAGGTAATTTGCACCTGGGGTTTCCCCAGTTCTTTCATATTTGTCTTTTGTTTTATTCTCAGCTCATTGGTCAGTGTGTTATGTCTATTTTTTCATCAACATAACATCAGCTCAGCATTCGTCGAATGGCATTGTCCTTATTTCTACAGCAAAAGTAAACACATTGTTTATGATCCCAGTTGATGGTAATACTGGACAAGTCAGATTCCAGAGGCTTGACGTGATAGGTTGTGAGTCTGCCATGTAATCACAGAACATATTCACAAGAGTCTGTCAATGTACTTTTGACAAAAAAAAGTCAAAGTTATCACACATACAAAAAAAACTAAAATTACAAAGCTATAAATATTTGGAATGGTTTTATTAGAAAGAGCAGAAATAAAGTTTTGACCATTTCCCCAGCAATGTCCTTTACGGACACTCAATCCCAGTGAGGTATCACTTCTAAATTCACCTTTTAATTTCTTACTTAACAAACATGGGTCACAAGTGTTTCATTTTCTGCACGTTCACCGGATGTGTTTCTCTGTACCTCTCCCTGAGACACCTAGGTATGTGCTAACTCTCTTACATTTCTCACTAAACTTTAAGGAAAGTAACTTAGGCCTGCTAAAATAGATTAAGACTTCTTCCCCTTGCTAATGACCTGAATACTGTCAAACTCAATTGCCCTTCTGCTGGCTAGATTATTTTGTTTGGTACTGCAACTCGCCTCTGGTTCCTGACCTCTCCTTTCGTAGGTCATTGAAAAACACCTCCACTGAGGAAGCAATTCAACAATTATCTCCCCAGCTAGTTTCTCTAGTTATCTAGCTTAAGTCACATGTTTTCTTGGAAACACTGTTTAATCTTGCTGTTCAAAATTATTTTCTGACCTTTTTCAAGAAAAATACCATCACAGGACTAAAACCAAAACATTACTTACGTTTTAAAATGCAATCTTTTCGAATAATGATTATAAGAAGATATTATTCAGTACTTCACCCCAGTGTATATAGACCCCAAATTTGGCTGCATTATTGGACTTTGTAGAATCGTAGAATGGTTACAGCAGAGAAGAAAGCTATTTGGTGCATCTACTGCAAGAATAATTTATCTTGTTCCACTCCTCTGCCTTTCTGCTTAGCCTTGTAGGTTTTTCTCTCTCTTCAGATACTGGTCCAATTCCTTTTGTGTTTGCGTACAATGCTTTTTAAGGCAGTGAATTTCAGATTGCAGCTATTTGCTACATGACAGTGATGTTGCTTTTGCTTCTTCTGAGAATTTTTAAAGAGTTGTTACCCTCGGCTTCTCAATCCTTCCATTAAGAGAGACCACTTCTCCCTGTCTAGTCTGTCTGGACCCCTCCTGATTCTGGATGCCTCTGTCAAATCTCCTCTGAACCTTCTCTAAGAAAAACAGCCCATGCTTCTCCAGTCTGTCCACACAACTAAAGGCCCTCTAACCCAGATCTGTTCTCTTTTCTACATCCTTTCCAACACCATTCCTAAAGGGAGGGGTCCAGAATTGGATGCAGTATTCCGGTATGGCACCCAATGGCTGATGATTGGAGATGCGTTTCCAAGTCAGGATGGTGAGTGGCTTCGAAAGGAACTTGCATGTGGTGCTGTTCCCATGTATCTGCTGCCCTTGCCCTTCTAGGTGATGGAGGCCACAGGTTTACAAGCTGCCTTGGTGAATTTCAGCAGTGCATCTTGAAGATGGCACACACTGCTTCCACTGTGCATTGGTGCTCAAGGCAGTAAATATTTACGGTGTTGAATGAAGTATCAATCAAATAGACTACTTGAGAGTTGTTGGAGCTGTAGCCATCCAGGGCAAGTGGGGGAGTGATCCATCACACTCCTGACTTGTGCCTTGTCAATGGTGGACAGGCTTTAGGAGTTGGGTGGTGAATTATTCTACTGTCAGGACAATAGAAAAGGAAAGACTTTGCATTTCGTTATCATCTTTTAGAGTTTGAGGGCATCCATTAGAGAGCAGCAGAGAACTGCATTCACTGTGGCAATGTAGGAAAACTGGAAGTCAATTTGTGCATAGCAGGCTCTCACAAGCTGTGATACAACATGCAGATAAATGTACTTTCTGTGATATTGGCTGAGGAATAACTAAGGGTCAGGTCATGACCATCACAATATTTATGCGGCTGTTTCTGTCTGGCCATTGGTCACTTCTCCATCGCTTGATTCTAATTGATTTCTCTTTCTTTTTGTCCATTAGCAGTCCAGCGAGGCAGGATTCCTCCAGCCCAGGCCAGCCCTGGGGAGCTCTCGCTGTCTGGAGGAGAGCACTTGAATGGAGGCAACATCTCAGGACTTATCTCCCTGCTGCTGAGAGCAGAGCCGTACCCCACGTCTCGCCTCAGCACCCAGTGCGGCCGCTTCAACCTCATGAGCATAGACAACATCTGTGAGCTAGCAGCCAGGTTGCTGTTCAGCGCTGTGGAGTGGGCCAGGAACGTCCCGTTCTTCCATGAGCTACAGATCTCTGACCAGGTGGCGCTGCTGCGGCTGAGCTGGAGTGAGCTGTTTGTCCTGAATGCAGCCCAGTCGTCCCTCCCTCTTCACATGGCTCCCCTCCTGGCAGCTGCCGGCCTCCACTCCACGCAGATGTCAGCGGATCGAGTGGTGACCTTCATGGACCAGATCCGAATCTTCCAGGACCAGGTGGAGAAGCTCAAGGTTTTGCAGGTCGACTCTGCTGAGTACAGTTGCCTGAAGGCGATCGCCCTCTACACCCCAGGTTAGTATCGATGGTCAGAGGGACTGCTGTGTGGCACCGTCTCTCAGGGTTCTGTGTGAGCCACTTAGAGGTCATGAGAGTTCTCAATGCTTCATGAAAAGGTGGCTTTTAATCTGGAGATCTGACACTGGAGCAAAAGAAAACTGACCTCAATGATTGCCATTAAATACTCCCATTTCTCCTCTTATTCATTCATGAGCTGTGGACATCATTAACAAGGCCAGCCTGCCTTTTTTTTTTAACCAATTCTTCCCTGCCCTTGAGAAAGTGTTGGTGAGCCACCTCTTGAATACAATTGAACAGGCTGCTGGACAATTTGCATTGCCGAGGGTCTGGAAGCCAACCTGGGAAAGGACAGCAGATTCCTTTCAACAACTGAGCTACAACAGTCCATTAGTTTCCCAGTTGCTGTTACTGACACGAGCTTTATATTTCCGATTAATCAATTGAGTTTAATTTCCTCGGCTGCTGTGCTCAAATCTGAACTTGGTACCAGTTCAAGCCAATTTCAAACAAAAGCAAGACACAGCAGGTATAATAAAACAAAGGACTGTAGATACCAGCGATGGGAAACCAACAAAAACAGAAATTGCTACAGAAACTCAGCAGATCGGGCAGCATTTATGGAGAGAGAAACGGAGTTAACGTCTCAAGCCCTGAGACCCTTCTTCGGAACTGAGAGCAGCTAGGAGAAGGTAGTATTGATGCTGGTGTTGAGGGCAGAGGGTTGGTAATGGAGTGAGTGGAGAGGTGGAGATGGAGCCCAGAGAGAGAGAGAAAGGGAGGCAGACCATTCACTGCAGATGCAGGAAAAGTGGAATCTGAAGAAGAGTCATTTCAGACCCGAAACGTTAACCCTTGTTTTTCTCTCTCCACAGGCACTGCCAGACCCGCTGAGTTTCTCCAACTCTTCCTGTTTATTTTCTTACACCAGGTGGCTTCAGCTTGCTGAATTTGTTAGTCCAGGAAAGTAGCCCCCTGTTATTTTTTTAGCGAGTTCATATCCCCAGAGCCCAACAACAATCTCCTCATTTGTTGAGTTTCAGGTAATTAGTCTGCCCCTCCACTTGTAAAGGAGACACTCCTCAGGAAGATGCAGCATTGTTTGTGTCCCTCCACAAGTGCATAAGGTGGTGGCAATGGCCTGGTGGTATTATCACTGGACTGTTAATCCAGAGACCTAGATAATGTTCTGGGACCTGGGTTTGAATCCTGCCACAGCAGGTAGTAGAATTTGAATTCAAGTTTTAAAAAAACTCTGGATTTAAGAGTTTAATGATGAGCATGAATCCATTGCTGATTGTCTAGGAAAAACCCATCTGGATTTTTTTAGGAAAGGAAACTGTCACCCTTATCTGGTCTGGCCTGCATGTGACTCCAGACCCACAGCAATGTGGTTGACTCTTAACTGCCCTCTGGGCAATTAGGGATGGGCAATAAATGCTGCCTCGCCAGCAATACCCTCATCCCGTGAATGAAGTAAAAAAGAAGTTTGTACCGAGGGCCGAGGAGTGGAGGTTGATTGGCCCTGGCTCGTCCTGAACATGTTGAGCACAGACCAGTCTTGCCATGGTTGTTCAAATCTCACCATTGGACAGACTGGGGGTGGGGAGGCTTTTTTGGCTGGGGCACTGAGCCTCAAGGTGAGCAGATCATCATGGAGTGGGTAAGAGAGCTGCAGCAGAGATGGTTTCCACCCTACTTGTACATTTTTGGCCAGTCAGCAGAGGTTCAGGGCATATGTGGCCCTGACAGAGGAAGGAGAGGTGCGAGGAGAACTGAAAAATCCTTAAGGATAGCAGCAAGGGACATGCTGTCGTGAGGTTCACCTGACCCAGAAGTGTCATTACCAGGTTGGCCCTGTGGGGGTGATGCGATTTGAACTCATTCGAGTGGATCATCAATCCTTAGGCCTCTGTAATGTAACCACTAATCCCCCATATGATTCTGATTCATTTATGGACTCACTACTTGGTCAGGCCAATGAGTGACTCCAGTCTTGGGACTGCCCTGGAGGCAGAGCCCAGCACTTAAATCCTGACCTGCTAACCCACTCAAGCATGGCTGAGAGAAAATTTCAGGGAAAATAGCATTGAGACATTCAGGAAAATTGCTTTATAATTTCCACTCCATTGTTTGTTTATTTGTTATCCAGCCACCGGGAAGAAATACCAACAGGTAGTCAAGAATTGACTGGAGATTCTACTCATCCCCTAATTGGCTGTCGGAAGGCTGGACATCATAAGGGTAGACAAACAGGTCGACCAGTAGCAGGACTGTGGGACTGAGGTCATGTGATGAAACCTCCAGACATCTATCCAACCAGAGTTGAATTAGAATTAGCTTTATTGTCACATGTACTCGGTGCAAAGTTTACAAGTCACGACATAGGTGCCATCTAAGTTACCAAGGTACAGATTCTTCAGTACAAAACTCTTAAGGAACAATATTAGAAAAATAAAGAAATAAAAAGTTTGGCAATAAATTGGAAAGATAGAGAAATAAGAGTTCAGAATAACAGTCCTTCCAACCCAGTCCACCCTGGGCTTCACCTTGAGTCCTGGGTTGAAGTGCACAGTGTGGCCGGGGGTGGGGGGGGAGTGTTCCACGCCGAGGTTGGGCGCGGGGGGCGGGGGGGTAGTCTACACCAAGGTTGTGAGCTGGGGGGGTGCACACTGAGCAACCCATCTCCAGCTTTAGTTGATTCTTCATATCCTCGTGAAATGTCTGAGTGAACCAGTTCGGACGTAAAGCCAATCGAGAGAAGGATTGCCAGCCATGAGCAGCTGGATTTTCAGCCTTGTCCACATCACACCCATCCTGAGAATAAATCATCGTCTGGTGACCCACAGATGCCTATGAGACAACATTCTTCAAAAGTAGATTCTCTGCAAATTATTGAGGCAAAGGTGGGCAGATTCTTGATAAACAAGGAGTGAAATGTTGTCAGGGGTAGGCAGGAATGTGGAGTAATCAGATCAGCCATGATCTTATTGAATGATGCAGTAGGCTGAAGGGGCTGACTGGCCTGATCAATATGTCTATACAGAGAGGACAGGGGGTTGGTTAGCTCAATTGGCAGGATAGCTGGTTTATGATGCAGAGTGGGCCAAAAACAAAGGTTCAAATCCTGCACCAGCTGAGGTCACCATGAAGGACTCTCCTTCTCAACCTCTCCCCTCACCTGAGGTGTGGTGACCCTCAGGTTAAACCACCACCAGTCATCTCTTTGTAATGAGAGAGCAGCTCAATAATCTGGTAGTATTATGGCAACTTTTACAGGTCACAGTTGGGCCTGCTCATTGTTCCAGATTTTATTGAATTCAAATTTCACCATCTGCAATGATGGGATTTGAGCCCATGTTCCCAAAACATTGGCCAGGGGTTCTGGAATGCTACTCGTTACCATTATGCTACTCCCTTCCTGAAATGACAGAAGGTTTTATGGTGAAAGGCGAAAGGGAATAGTAATGTGACAAGGAAAGAAACAAAATATGTGTTTGTTGTAAGTTGTGGTACCAAACACTGGGAGCTTGTGGTTGGGTTGGGTGCTGCCACCAATCCTCCTTTCTACTGTATTCAGTACCATCATTGTGATACAGCCTAATCCATCACGCAAACCAGCCTTCCATCCATTGACTCCACCTACTACCTCCCACTGTCTCAGGAAAGCAACCAACATAATCAAAAACTCCTCCCACCCTTTTTATACTCTTTTCCACCCTCTTCCATCAGAAGATACACAAGTTTAAATACACATACAAACTGATTCAAGAACAGCTTCTTTCCTGCCATTATTACATTTATGAATGGACCTTTCAAATTTTAAATTTAATGTTGATCTCGCTCTCTGTGCACCTTCTCTGCAGCCATAACATTGTATTCCTCAGAAGTATTTCTGAAGAAGAGTCCTGATCAGAAACGTCAGCTTTCCGGCTCCTTTGATGCTGCCTGGCCTGCTGTGTTCCTGCACCTCCGCACTGTGTTATCTCTGACTCCAGCATCTGTAGTTCTCACTATCTCACATTGTATTCCTTGCTCTGTTCTATTACCCTAATGCGCTTTTATGCTCTCACCTGCTTGTACCGCACGCAAAATTAAAACTTTTCACTGTATCAAATACAACAAGCCAGTCAAATAAAATGTAAGTCAGAATTGATAGCCCTGACAAATGTTGAGATGGCAATGGAAAGTTACACTTTGAGAATAAGATGTGGTTTTGAGAGGGGATGACCAACCCCAGCGGTGGTCCCATTGTGGGAGGCCAAATACCATGTGTTCCATCTCCAGCAACACCCTGGGGCAGATGGTGCCACAAAATGGAGGCAAGCAAGTCGAGTGCAATCCCACAGATAGAACCTTGGCCGGGCCCTGGAGCAGACCCATGTGGGGGTCCCCAATCTGCCAATCCCTCAGTCCTTTGCTGGGTTCCTAAATATCAGGCACGTGAGACTGAAGTGTCATCATTGGCGGTCCCTCGCAGATGAGGGTGACCCTCTTCCACTGTGAGTCTGTAGGTGGCTATAGAGACCAATATGACTACCACAGGCTGTGTTACATGGGGCAGAAGGGGGTTGTGGGAAGGGATGGGCAGGGCACTGGTGCGGCAGTGTGCTCCTTTCACAGCTTTCTCCTGCCTTCCACTTCTTCCCGATGGCAAGTCTCGAGATGCTCGACTCCTTCCCACATGCTCCTCCTCCTCCTCCACTTTGGACAGTTTTGGGCTAGTGACTCCCAAGTGTCTGTGGGAATGTTGCACTTCACCAGTGAGGCCTTGAAGGGATCACTGAAGTGTAACCAAACATTTAAAAGCAGCCCCTTTCTTTAAAAAAAAACTAATTGGGAGCTGTTTAAACAAAAAATTACAAATAAGAATGAAACACAGTTTCTTCCAGCCAACAGAATTAGCCATGACCCAGCATGCAGTGGAAGGGTACAAGTATACATGGAATGTAAAGACCGAATCTAACCATTTCCTCTCGACAGTCAATGGCAAAGCCTTTGCTGAACCCTCACTATCAACATCCTGGGGCTTATCATTAACTTAAATTCCACAAGCAGCTGAGGTCAGATTTGACCCTGTGTTACTGGAGTTGTAGCCTGTTACTAATGCAGCAACTATGCCACCGTTTACACCAATCCTCATTTCTACTCTTTCTGATAAACATTAAACAAGTTACAAAGCTCCCAGTGAGACACTGTTAAAAAAAAATCAAAATTGATTGGTAAATGGGAAATTACATTTCTGTAAGGGAAACTTATCAAAATTAACATAAAATGTCACCTCCAAGAGTAATGTTGCACCCCAGCTATTACTCCTTTATACATTATTTCTAATCAGATGGTTCATACATGTTATGACACATGTCTGGAGTGAGTGGGACCTGATTCAAGGAATATCACACAGCCACAGACCCACATAATCTTCCTTCCTAGATATTTTCAGTCACCCTGTTCAGACCTCTGGAGCAAGTGAGATTTGAACCTGTGCCTTTTGTCCCTGAGGTAGGGACACTACTCCTGTACAACAAGACTCTCTCAATCCTCCTATCCAGATTTTCATTTAATTCAAGGTTCTGTCATGGTGATATTTGAACTTGGGTCCTCCCCACCCCAAAACATTAACCTGGGTTCTGGATTCCTAATCCAGTAACATTATCACCATGCTCCCATCTCCCCCAGACTAATTAGTCCTGTCCACGCTGAGCCGAAAGGTCTACCTAATGAGCAGTGATAGAGTATAAACCACTGCTGAGTCTGAACAAGAAGAGGCATTTGTCATACACAACACGATGTAATTAATTGGATGACAGCAATAGGTGCAAATTGTATTGACCAGTTAGATGTAATTACAAGAGCTATCAGGAGCCAGGGATGATACAGCTATCTCCATTGGGTCCTCGTGCTGGACTGTGTCATGGAGGTGACACTCCTGTTGCCATTGGGCTTTTTCAAATCTGCCCACGCCTCCAACCGAAGACTGTGTGATATCATCAGATTGAGTGGAGCTTATTGTTAAATCATTACATTATTCAACAGTGTCTAGAGGAGGTGTGACAGGCATGTTCCTGAATTGCTGTCATCCAAAAGCACGAATGGCGTGGTGGCTCACTGGTTAGCACTGCTGCCTCGGAGTGTGTTCGATTGTAGCCTCAGGTGACTATCTGTAAGTAGTTTGCACATTCTCCCCGTGTCTGCGTGGGTTACCTTCCACAGTCCAAAGATGTGCAGGCTAGGCGGATTAGCCATGGGAAATGCAGGGATAGGGTGGGGGTTGGGTCTGGGTGGGATGCTCTTCAAATGGTTGGTGTGGACTCAATGGGCTGAATGGCCTGCTTCCACACTGTAGGGATTCAGTGATTCTAAGAAATCGAAGGCATAAAGAGATGTCATTAAATATTTACCTGCCCTCCACCCTATTACAGATTCCACCCTTTTGTTCATTTTACAATGTAAAAAAAGACTGCTTTTGAAGTCAAACATGTTTCTTTCTCCTATTCTCTCTGCCAGACGCTTCTGGTCTCTCGGAACCTGCCCACATTGAGAGCTTGCAGGAGAAGGTTCAAGTGTCGCTGGCTGAGTATGTGCGATGTCAGTATCCACCGCAGCCCCAGCGCTTTGGCAAACTGCTCTTACGACTCCCGGCATTGCGAGCAGTGCCAGCCTCCCTCATTGGACAACTCTTCTTCATGAGGCTGGTGGGCAAGACACCCATTGAGACCCTAATCAGAGACATGCTCCTGTCTGGAGGTTCCTTCAACTGGCCTTACATGCCAACTCAATGATAAAGCCTGATTCCGAATGGGCTCCAACTAGACTATTACTGGGCACTGCCAAGTATGCCACCTCGCATACGTGAGATTAAACGGGATCACTTGACTTCAGGCACTAACTGGATCCTGGGATGCAGTATTTAAATTTAGTACTTTGCTTCTTTTGTTTGCTTAAGGACACTAAGCCAAAATGTGAGAATGTTTCATGGAATAGTCTCTGTTCCTGGATGATGAGACATTACAGGCAGAGATGCTTGTAAATTGTACACCTCCCCTCACCCCCATACACACGCTCCAGGTTGGGACAAGGGCAATATTCAGCAGTGTACCTGCTCCTGATGACTGTCCATTGGCTTTAGGAGAAGGTAACCAGACACAGTTTGAGCATAGGATTGACCCAAGCTCCATCTACACCCTTCACTGTCTTCCTTCACTCACAAGGAATGGCTGTGTGGAGGGGGCTCCTGGAGACTCCTGATTGAATAGGAGGAAAACCTGTAGAAGGTTGGAGAGATCAGCTTCCACGTAGAGATTTGATTTAACAAATGGGGAAGCCGCACCTTTATTAGAATCACATAATTGAGAAATTTCAACTGCATTTTAAAGAAGTGCGCAGAGTTTGACTGTGCACCATTTCCATGCATATGTTTGGTGATGTTTGAGAGCAGTGCTGGAAGGGGACTGGATTACTCAGTCTTTCACTCAAAGTGCACTCCAAGATCGAGGAAGTCACATTGTCACACTCCTTCTGGTTGTCCCAACATGCTCTGCCCCTGCTAACCTTGAGGAGCACTTCATAATTCCCAAGTACAGAAGGTTTGCACACTCAGTCATTAGAAGGAGGAAGCAAAGGACTGAGATTGTAGCGTTGTTTAAAAAGCAATTGGAAAAGTATTTCAAAACAAAAACAATGCAAGGAAGAAGCAATGAAATGGAATCACATTAAGACCCCATAACCAGCTGGTTGGGGTGGGAAGGAGGTCTATTATTTTCTGCGCTGTAACATTTTAGAATTTCGTTCAAATTGCTTGCATCTCCTTCACCTCGCATCCTCTTGGAGTTACTTCCTGAGTCACCTCTCAAAATCTAGTCCTGATATTGTACGATAGCATCATATTCATTGTGAGTGTATCCTTTAACTGTACCTTCTAGTTTGTGTGACATAGCCTCCTGATTTAACTGACTGTGATGTTGCAATAAAATATTTTGAGTCTTTTGACTTCCTTAATTCTGTTTGTCAGGGTTGGGAGGTCGAAAAAGGAATGGATATTTGCGTAGATACAGCTAACAGCTGTCAACAGAGAAAAGTTCCTGACAGTTAGGAGGAGGTGGTAATATAATGGAGCCCAGGTTGATACTCCAGAGACATGGGTTCAAATCCCACCATGGCACATGGTGGAATTTAAATACAGTTAATAAGACCATATTGAAAGATAATAGTAGCCATGAAACTATTGTCAATTGGTGTAAAAACCCATCAGGTTCACTTATACCCTTTGGGGAAAGGAAATCTCTCCTTACCCAGTGGGAGCTACAGACCCACAGCAAAGTGGTTGACTCTGACCTGCCCTCTGAAAAGGCTGAGTAAGCCACGTAACTCCAGGCCAACTAGTGACGAATAATAAATGTTAGCCTCGCCAATGATGCAGAATTCAAAAATCTCAGCACTGGCAACAGGAGGGAGGTGGTAGCCAGCAGATATCCAGTTCCTGCTGTTACAAAGGCACATCACTGACCCAGAATTCATGATAGTGGAAATGTTAATCTGCCTCAGCTTGATTGAAAGTGACGGCACAAGTGGAATAATCATTGCCTTGCATTGACCAATGATATAATATGCAGGTGCAGAAAGTGATTAGGAAGACAAGTGGATTGTTTCTTGCAAAGGGAATAGGAAAATATGAATGTGCAGTAGTTTTACTGTAGCTGTAAAAGTGTTGATGAGACCATATCTGAAATATTGTGTACAGTCTGTCTCCTTATTTGAAAAAAAGGATAAAGTTGTGTTAGAAACAGTTCAAGAATGTGAGGCTTATGCAGAAATTTTTTGTGCTTATAGCCCTTGGACTTTAGGAGAGTGAGAGATTATCTTGTTGGAATGTACAAGATCCTGAGGACTTGATCCTGTGGATAACAGGAGGATGTTTCCTCTTGTAGGGAGACTGGAATTAGTAGTCACTGTTTAAGAATAAGAGGTCTCCATTTTAATATGAAGATGAGATTTTTTTTTCTCTTCGGACATTGTTAATATTTGGAATTACTTTCCTTAGAAGCAGCAGAAGTTTGGCATTGAATTTATTAACTGGTAAAGGTGGATGGATTTTTGATAGATGACAGAGGGAAGAACAAAGAAAATTACAGCACAGGAACAGGCCCTTTGGCCCTCCAAGCCTGCGCCGATCCAGATCTCTATCTAAACCTGTCACCTATTTTCCAAGGATCTGTATCCCTCTGCTCCCTGCCCATTCATGTATCTGTCTAGATACATCTTAAATGATGCTATTGTGCCCGCCTCTACCACCTCCGCTGGCAACGTGTTCCAGGCCTCCCACCCTCCAACCCACCACCCTCTGCGTAAAGAACTTTCCATGCATATCTCCCTTAAACTTTTCCCCTCTCACCTTGAAATCGTGACCCCTAGTAATTGAGTCCCCCACTCTGGGAAAAAGCTTTTTGCTATCCACCCTGTCTATATCTCTCATGATTTTGTAGACCTCAATCAGGTCCCACCTCAATCTCCATCTTTCTAATGGAAATAATCCTAATCTACTCAACCTCTCTTCACAGCTAGTGCCCTCCATACCAGGCAACATCCTGGTGAACCTCCTCTGCACCCTCTCCAAAGCATCCACATCCTTTTGATAATGTGGCGATCAGAACTGTACGCAGTATTCCAAATGTGGTCAAACCAAAGTCCTATACAACTGTAACATGACCTGCCAACTCTTGTACTCAATACCCCGTCCGATTAAATGAAAGCATGCCGTATGCCTTCTTGACCACTCTATCCACCTGCGTTGCCATCTTCATACAATGGACCTGAACACCCAGATCTCTCTGTCCATCAATTTTCCCCAGGGCTTTTCCATTTACCGTATAGTTCGCTAAGTCAAGGAATATTGGGGGGCAAACACTGCATCCACATAGCCAAGATCTTATTGAATGGCAGAACAGACTGATTGGTCTGTATGGCTCATTCATGCTCCTCGTTCTTATGCTCCTAAAATATGGAAATTAAACTTTGCTCTCAGTGATTCTGTCCTTCTGCAGAGGGGGCACTGCTGAGATACCTCCAGTCTCTAACCAATGGAATATCTTCTGAATTGATGAAAATTTCCATTTTTATTTAGTGTTGGTCTCACTGTAAAAATTCCTAAGTTACACCTTGCTGAATGCATTCCTTTAAATCTCACATTAGCATTTTAATTATTATTCATAACATAACACCAGGAGTAGTCCCTTCAGCATACCAAACCCACCCATCATTTAAGGCAACAAGATGTAAATGCAAAAGTAGGCCATTCGGACCATTGGGTCTGCTACACCATTCAAAGAGATCATGGCAGATGTGATAAACCTCAACTCCAATTTCCTACCTTTTCCCCATAATCCTCAATTCCCTGATTAAATGTTTGTCTGTCTCAGTCTTGAATACATTTAAAGATCCAGCCTCAACAGCCCTCTGCAGTAAAGAATTCCACAGATTCACTAACCTCTGGGAGAAGAAATTTCTCCTTGTGGACTCCTAGAGCTGTACAACATCGAAACAGACCCTTCAGTCCAACTCGTCCATGCTGACCAGATATCCTAAATAAATTTAGTCCTATTTGCCAGCATTTGGCCCCTATCTCTCTAAACAATTTCTATTCACATACCCATCCAGATGCCTTTTAAATGCTGTCATTGTACCAGCCTCCACCACTTCCTCTGGCAGCTCATTCCATATACACACCACCCTCTGTGTGAAAAGTTGCCTCTTAGTTCCCTTTTAAATCTTTCCCCTCTCACCATAAACATCTGCCCTTTATTTTTGGACTCCTCTCCCCAGGTCAGACAAGACTGTCTATTTACCCTATCCATGCCCCTCATGATATTTAAAACCTCTATAAGGTCACCCCTCAACCTCCAACACTCCAGGGAAAATAGCCCCAGCCTATTCAGCCTCTCCCGATAGCTCAAACCCTCCAACTCTGGCAACATCCTTGAAAATCTTTTCTGAACCCTTTCAACTTTCATAACATCCTTCCTATGAGAGGGAGACCACAATTGCACATAGTATTCCAAAAGTGGCCTAACCTATGTCCTGTACAACCACAACATGACCTCCCAACGCCTATACTCAATGCACTGACCAATAAAGGCAAGCGTACCAAACACCTTCTTCATTGTCCTATCTACCTGCGACTCCACTTTCAAGGAACTATGAACCTGCACTCCAAGGTCTCTTTGTTCAACAACATGTTGCAGCTGTACAAAACACTGGTGCGGCCGCACTTGGAGTATTGCGTACAGTTCTGGTCACCGCATTATAGGAAGGATGTGGAAGCATTGGAAAGGGTGCAGAGGAGATTTACCAGGATGTTGCCTGGTATGGAGGGAAGGTCTTATGAGGAAAGGCTGAGGGTCTTGCGGCTGTTTTCGTTAGAGAGAAGAAGGTTAAGAGGTGACTTGATAGAGACATACAAGATGATCAGAGGATTAGATAGGGTGGACAGTGGGAGCCTTTTTCCTCGGATGTTGATGGCTAGCATGAGGGGACATAGCTTTAAATTGAGGGGTGATAGATATAGGACAGATGTCAGAGGTAGGTTCTTTACTCAGAGAGTAGTAAGGGCGTGGAATGCCCTGCCTGCAAAAATGGTAGACTCGCCCACTTTAAGGGCATTTAAATGGTCATTGGATAAACATATGGATGATAATGGAATAGTTTAGGTTAGATGGGCTTCAGATTAGTTTCACAGGTCGGCGCAACATCGAGGGCTGAAGGGCCTGTACTGCGCTGTAATGTTCTATGTTCTAACACTCCGCAGGACCTTACCATTAAGTGTGCAAGTCCTGCCCTGATTTGCCTTTCCAAAATGCAGCCCCTCACATTTATCTAAATTAAATTCCATCTGCTATTCCTCGGCCCATTGGCCCCGTCTGATTAAGATCCCATTGTACTTTGAGGTAACCTTCTTCCCTGTCCACTACAGCTCCAATATCCTGGGGAAAGGTCACCGGACCCGAAACGTTAACTCTGATTTCTCTTCACAGATGCTGCCAGACTTGCTGACCTTTTCCAGCAACTTCCGTTTTTGTACCTCCAATTTTGGTGTTATCTGCAAACTTACTAACCATGCCTCTAATGTTCGCATCCAAATCATTTGTAGAAACAACAAAAAGCAGTGGGCCCAGCACCGATCCTTGTGACACACAACAACTGTCCACCTCCACCCTCTGTTTTCTACTTTCGAGTTGTCTTAAATGTGCAGTCACTTATTCTGAGGTTATGTCCCATGGTCCAAGACTTTTCCGTGGGGAGACAACGTTTCTGCATCTCACCTATTGTAGATGTATCAGGCTTTGATTTATAGTTACAATAGATAAGGACTAATCCAACTTTATATCTTCATGCACTCTCAAGACTGTTTCTCCTGTTACAGTGCTCCAACTCTGCCCACACTGTGCCCCATAAATATATAAACCTATTTTTCGAATCAACCTGGAGCAGATGGGACTTGAATCTGAGCCTTTCATTCCATGGTTAGGGAGGCTACCATTGCAGCACAAGAGGGCCCATTATAAAAATACGTTTCACGAATTTGCATTCAACCTTAGGCAGGAGCCATGCTAGTCTCTATATCGTTTCAATTTTAGAATATGTGCTCCTGAAGCGAGCCTTTTATACTCAGCACCTTCGTGACATCATCACAAGGTCGCTGCAGGGTCCTTACATCAAGCTGGAGTTTTCCACTCACGTTCTAGAGTGGGATCTAAACCCAAACCTTCCAGATGCAAAGGGATCCTACTCACTGAGCCACAGTTAGGTACCGTAATATAAGTGTACAGAGGCTGGTATCCCATCACCAAGTCACCCTTTGTTTACATGTGCACAGTACATTGGCTATGGCCAGCCAGCTTAGAGTCAGTCCCCTGAACTGAGGAGATTCTTAAACCCCCTGTTTTTTTTTGAACAGATGAAATGTCAATTTTATTTTCTGATTCAGAAAAAATATT